GCATACACATAAAATAAAAATAATAAAATATTTAAAAAATAAATAAATAAAATAAATCTCTTAAATGGCAGTGTTACCTATTTATATTTTATTTATTATTATACAAAATCATCTTCATTTTCCCTGGGGGTTTGGATCTGATTCTTCTCAGAGTTGTCTGTAGCAAACTACCAATGCACAAGAAACCCAAGAAATAAAGGAAGATTTTTAACATTATAGAACACAATCAGAAAAACTTAGTTTCTTCAATAAAAGTTACAAACAGAAAAATGATGGAGGCTGAAGAGCTGGCTCAGAGATTAAGAGCACTGGCTGCTCTTGCGGAGAACCTGGGTTTGGTTCCCAGTACCCAAAGCAGTGGCTAACAACCACCTGTAACTTCAGATCCAGGGGATCCAACACCCTCTTCTGGCCTCTGCAGGCATTGTACAAAATGGGTGCACTTAGCGTACATGCAGGCAAAACACATAAAATACACATAAAATAAAAATAACGAAATATTTTTGAAAAACGAGAGAGAGCTGGAAAGATGGTTCAACAGTTAAGACCACTGGCTACTCTTTGCAGAGCCCAGCACCCACACAGTAGCTAATAACCATTAATATTTCCAGTTCCAGGAGCTCTAAGGCCCTCTTCTGGCCTCCATGGATATTGCACGCATGGGTGCAGTTACATGCATGCACACAAAACATGCATACATATAAAATGAAAATAAATCAGCCAGGTGTGGTGGTTCATGCCATAGCCCCACCACTTGGGAGGCTGAGGCAGGCGGATCTCTGAGTTCAAGGCCAGCCTAGTCTACAGAGTGAGTTCCAGGACAGCTGGGCTACAGGGAGACCCTGCTTCAAAAAGACAAAATAAAATAAAATAAATAAATAAAAATAAATCTAAAAATAAAATTTTTTTAAAGAGGAGAGGAAAAGAGGCAAAGCATGAGGCACGAAGAGGAGGACTTGAAACAAACTATTCAATTGCAATGTACAGCTCTTATTTGGGTCTTAATTCAAACAATCATATATAGATGATTCCAGAATTTGAGACAGGGTCTCCCCATAGCACCAGCTGGCCTGGAACTCACTCTGTAGACCAGGCTAGCCTCGAACTCACAGAAATCCACCTGCCTCTGCCTCCCAAGTGCTGGGATTAAAGGCATGTGCCATCACACCCAGCCCATGATTAAAATTTTAAACTGAAAGAAAAATCTGTTCCTGTCTTTAACCCACATAGGTCATATGACAGTCAGAAGGAATAACTGGATATCTGATAGTAAAAATACATTTTTTTATTTGGGTGTGGTGGCATACACCTTTAATCCCAGCATCTGAGGTGGGGGGAGGCAGGCAGATCTTTCTAAGATGGAAGCTAGCCTGGTCTACGTAGGGAAACCCTGTCTCAAAAATTTTTAAGAATACTTTTTTTTTTTTTTTTTCGCAGTTCTAGAGATCAAACCCAGAGCTTCTCACACTCTGGGCAAACACTGAACCCTGAGCTACATTCCTAATCAGAACCTGGTGGGAAAACGGTAGGAAGGAGGAAAATGTACATGTGGAAGGCGGAGGAGGACATCTTGTGGAGTCATCATTTCTCTCTTTCTACCATGTAGGTCCTGGGGATTGATCAGGCTTAGCGGCAGGCACCTTTATCCACTGAACTATATTGATAACCCCAGAAAAAAAAAATTTAAGGAAATAGGATTGTGAAGAGCCTTTTCAGAGCTATACTACGGTATTTATGGACAAAATTACAAGTCTGATTTGCTTCTCAATAATCCAATGCTACGAAAGAGGAAATATCCCTAAAATAGAACTTTCTTTTTTTTGAGACAGGGTCTTCCTATAGCCTTAGCTGGCCTGGAACTCGCTATTGTAGACCATGCTGGCCTTGACCTCACAGAGATCTGCCTGCCTCTGCCTCCCACAGTTGCTGGGACTAAAGGTATGCACCACCATGTCCAGCTTGAATGTTTTATAATTGCTGAAGCTGGATGACAGATACACACTATGCTTCTGTGATCTCCACCTTCTCTAATGGCTAAAACTGTCCATAATACAAAGTAAGAATGAATGCCTAGCATTCTCAAGACCCCAGATTCCATCTCTAGTACTTCCAAAAAAAAAAAAAAAAATTAAGGAAGACTTGCTTATGTCCTTAGTTCATTTTCCTAATGGTTCAGTTTTGACTTTTTACAACTCACTGCATATCAAGACGCCTCCTATGTCTTACTCATATTTTTCTCGCTTGTCATGAATCGTTTCATTCACGCCATTCTTTGTTATACAGACATTTCAAATACTGTATACTGTCAAAATTGTTACATCTTTTACTTCATGAGTTTCTGTTTGGTGCTAAGTTTAGAAAGATTTTACCTATACTAGAATTACAGGAAATTTTACCTACATTTCTCTTTAAGACTAAGTTTACATTAAAGTTCTCTTAAAGACTAGTTCGTGTGTGTGTGTATATCCTTTATAGCACAATATGTCATCATTACATTAGCTGGAAAACAAAAATCATGTGCATCAGCTGCTAATTTCAGAAAGATGAACACACCTTGGAATGGAAGTGACAGGACCCAACAACATGTACTTGTTTTATCCCTCAAGGGTCCTGTATTTTTAAAGAGGTACTATGCATTAAATAATAACTAATTTTGTTTTCCTGCTTAAATAAACAAAGGATCTATAGGTTCCTATCAGAGTTCCTGGCCATCATGAGTTGTTCACAATTAGAGTATTTCAAAATATGGTATGTAAGTAAAATACAATTACCATTCTATCTTAAAAAGAGAAATTCTGATATGCGAACACACAGATAAGCCTTGAGGACACTGTGCTTACTGAAGTAAGCCAGTCAGAAAAGGAAAAATACTGTGTGATTTTAATTATGAGGTACCAAAGTTATCAGATTCACATAAGCCAAAAGATTGCCTTCCAGAGGCTAGAGGAGGAAAAAATGTAAAGTTCTTGATTAACGGGTACAACAGCTTCTGTCTGGAATCCTTAGCTGTGTGGTAATAATCATTTCTTAGTAATGATATGCTTAATGCCACTAAACTGCACTTTAAAATGGTTAAAATGGTAAATCTCATGGGTATCCCAGTTTTTGTTGTATACTTTACCATAAAAAAAAAAATGGTATGATCAACCTTAGAGACTAAATTAACATCACAGCCAAACTAGAAGAAATTTGACACTTTAACTGCAGATTTCATTGGTATGCCCAAGTGTATGGGTGTGCGGAAGTGTACGATTTCCACGGGGTTTTGGTAATACTGGAGAGACTTCACAGAACCCTAAAAAGGAATCCCTGGGGAAACAAACCATGGCATTTTATCCTGAGGTTTTCCTCAGTCTTATCTGTAGTTTGCTAATCAATCCTAGCACATAAGGCCATGCCCACTGTCTGTGCTCTCTTCCCCACACTGAAGAGGAAGAAGGTGGATGTTGTGAATGTAATACATGAAGACACTGATTCCACCTACCTTACCCATGCCAAGAGCCACTCAATATCTTCCTGATCCAGATACTCAAGTGTACCTGCAGCAAATCCAGAAAGAAAATCTAGTTTCTACATTTGGTGCCAATGACCACCTAGAAAGGGGGCTAAACTCTGGATTAAAGGAAGGCTGCTATCTCCATTCTGCCATTTCTTAGGGGCTCAGGGTTGCCACTCGATGGTTCAATTTAAAGCTGGCTTCATGGGGCTGGAGAGATGGTTCAGCAGTTAAGAGCACTTGCTGTTCTCACAGAGGACATGAATTCCATTCCTAGCACCCACATCCAATGGCTCACAACCACCTGTTAATTAATGTTCCAGAGGATCCATCACCCTCTTCTGGCCTTTCCAGGCAGCTGCATATGCGTGGTTAATATACATATACTAGGGCACACACACATACACATAAATAATCTAAAAAGAAAAAACTTCTCATTATAAAACAAACAAAACTGCCGGTGTGGTGGCGCACGCCTTTAATCCCAGCACTTGGGAGACAGAGAGGCAGGTGGATCTTTGTGAGTTTGAGGCCAGCCTGGTCTACATAGTGAGTTCCAGGACAGCTGGGGCTACAAGGAGACTTTTAAAAAAAAAAAAAAAAAAAAAAAAAACCCTGACTTTTAAGGGTTAAATTCCACTTGGGGAAAAGAATTGTGACTAGTCAAACTTAACTCTTGTCTGCATATGTAAGAAGTCCAATTTTACACACATCATCCTTTCTAAATTTAAAGGACATTATTTTAATATATACATGGTAAATACATTGCTATTTTTCGGGCGCATGAGTAATTGGGGTTTTTATTTATCTTCAGTATCTGAAAGCTCCACTGTGTTCCAAATACTTTTTCCCTATATGACTTCCTACAACTCTGTACCAAATCCTTTTCAGTCTGGAAGCTCAACACCTCTCCCATCACCTGAAAAATCTGCTACTTCCACAGCCCTTACTAAAAAAGAGCTCTAAAAATTTTTAAAGAAACTTTCGTTGTCTAATATAGCTCTCACACTTTTTTTTTTTTTTTTGGTCTTTTTGAGACAGGGTCTCCCTGTAGCCCCAGTTGTCCCGGAACTCACTATGTAGACCAGGCTGGCCTTGAACTCACAGAGATCTGCCTGCCTCTGCCTCCCAGTGCTGGAATTAAAGGTGAGCGCCACCACCCTCGGCCCACACATACTATTTTTAATTGAGGAGGTGAACACTGGATTTGGCTACTGGTAATGTCCTCATACAATCATTCCTCCAACACTACCACAGGAAAGAAGGACACGTGTGGTTCTCCCCTCTCTCTGTGGCTATCACTGCACTGCTGTACGTCATCAGCTCCCAACCACCCCACCTGAGGGCTGGGAGTCTTCGCAGGGCTTTTTCTGGATTGCAGTAAGGCTATGTGCGAAGGCCCTCATCACTCCCCACCCACCCATCCCAACCTGGAACTCTCCGCGACTACAGCACCATCCCCGATGGGCCTCCTGCAAGAACTAAACTCCAACCACGGACTGGAGACCTCAGACACAGAGGAAGAGAGGCTCAAAGAAAGAGAGCCCGGTAGGGTTTTTACAGCCCTCAAAACCTTAGAACAATTTCCTCTCCTAATGCCTGTGAGCTACCACTACTTAGTGGTACCCTAAGATGCTCAACCAGCCTAAAAATAAAAAAGAGGAAGATAGCCCCCAAATAAAGACACCCTGGACACAGCTCCTTCACCAAAAAGGCCAGAGTCTTACTATGACTTCTGACCACCTGGGCCAGGTTGGCTGGCAGAAGGATGATGTCCCTGAGCGATACAAACCCCACTGACGACTGTCACACCCCACCACCCAATGTCACGCCACCAAGCTGATGGCCCTCACCTTCCAAAATCTTGAAGCGGGTGCCTTCACATTAAGTAGACCCCTCCTTGCTAACTGCCCCGGGAAGGTGAAACTTCGCATCAGCCTCAGGCGCTGGGGCTTGGAGGGGCTCGGGTGCAAAGAGGAAGGATGGGCACACGGAACGGAATCTCCGTGATTTGCCCGCACAGACTCCAGACAGCACGAGCGCCGGGATTTCCCTGCAGCTGCCACGACAGGTGACCGCTTTGCAGACAACCCTCCCCACCCGCTGCCTGGCGGGGGCCCTGCGGAAGGTGGGGCCGGCGGGGACGGGGAGGGAGGAGGAGAGGGACCCGAGGTGGGCAGAGCCGGCAGAGGCAGGCCGGGCCCGCGCAGAGCCGTTACCCTGGGAAAACCGTTGGAAGGGATTTTTCTGTCTCCGCAATTAAGGAAAAAAAAAAAAATGGCTCCAAGCCAACCGCCTTCTGATTCACACACAAGCACGCACGCACGCCCGGGTGCCTCTTTCGCCCGTT